AGCTCATGACCATTCCTCTATAGGTCACTTCTTCACCTGATTTAACCAAAGAATCGATAATCCAATTCATATCAAGCTCGATAGAATGCTGGTTAACGATATTTGGCTTGATAAATTCCCAAACTCTTTTTACAATGTGGAGAACCCGCAGATTTCTGATCACTGCCCTATCATTCTTCAATATGATCAACACCTGCATCATAAACACCGGTTACTTTTTAAGAATTATTAGTTTTCTAATTCAGAGTTTTGGGATGCTCTTATTCAAGTCTTCTCTCAAAGGTTCCAAAGCAGCCCGATTCATTCTTTTTACCAAAAACTTAAAACACTCAAACTCAGCATCAAAGCTAAGCATTGGAGTTCTTCTAACTCCCTCCAAAAGGATATTACTGAGCTTGAAAGCCTCCAAAACTCTTTTTTATGTCAAATCCAGGACTCTCCTTTGAATCCTGATCTTAATTTGGCTTTGAAAGATGTTAACCATAAGCTGGCTATAAAGAATTCTAATTGGTCCGACTGGATGATGCAAAGAGCAAAGGTGAACTGGATGTTTAATGGTGAAGATGACATCAAGTTTCTTTATTCCAGGATTAATGCTAGGCATAACTCTAATCACATCAAATGCATTACCACCATGGAGGGTACCTTCACTAATCCTAATGAGATTAGCTTGGCCATCATCAACCATTTCAAAAGCTTTTCAATTTTGTGAACTCACCCTGCTCTTCTTCCTGGGAAGCTCCCATTCATCTTAAGCTTCCTAATGATCTAACTCAACAGCTGGTATCTCCTGTCACGGTTGATGAAATCAAGAATGTTATCTTCTCCTCTCCCAACTGCTCTGCCTCAGGGCCTGACGGCTACACCTTTGAATTTTACAAAGCCACCTAGAATACTATTGGCAAGCAAATTGTGAGACGGTTTGGACTTTTTTCTCTACAGGCTCTTTGCCTAAGCATGCTAAAGCCACTGCTCTGGCTTTAGTTCCCAAACGTCCACATGCTCAAGACATCTCGGATTATAGGCCCATATCTATGCAATACTTTCTATAAGATCATTGCCAAGATCCTTGCTAACAGAATGAAAGATGTTATGCCTTCCATTATTCACCCTAGTCAATCTGGGTTTGTCAAGGACAGAATTATCTCTGATAATATTTTGTTAGCGGTCGAACTTCTCAAAGATTTTAATTCTTCTAATAGAAACCATTATTTATGTGCAAAGTTTGACATTCATAAGGCTTTCGACACGGTTTCTAGGGACTTCTTGCTCAATAGGATGATTGCTAAAGGATTTCCTGCTTTGTTTGTTTCTTGGATTAAGGGGTGCATCTCTGATGTCTTTTTTTCTATCTCTATTAATGGGGATCTTGAAGGTTACTTTAACTCTTCATTTGGACTCTGGCAAGGTTGTCCTCTCTCTCCTTACCTTTTTTGCATTGTCATGGATTGCCTTTCTTCTTGTTTTGAGGAAGCTATTCAGGCTAACTCCCTACAGGGTATGGAGATTGATAGCATTACTCTCTCCCATCTCCTTTACGCTGACGATCTTTTGGTTTTTGCTAAGGCTTCCCAGGATAATGCTCGTGCTCTTAATAACATTTTGAAAGCCTTTACTAGCATTTCTGGCCTCCTTGTCAACAGTAGCAAAAGCTCGATCCTTTTTTCTAAGAACATCAAAGATGAGATGGCTATTTGTAACATCCTTGACATACCGAGCTCCTCCACCCCCATTAAATACCTGGGCATTCCAATTTTTAACAAGAGGCTTAAAATCTGTTATTTCCAACCACTTATGCAAAAGATCATGGCTTCCTTGGAGGGTTGGAAGGCTAGAACCATATCTTTAGCTGGGAGGTTGCAATTCCTCAAATACACCATTAGCAATTTGTTGGCTTATTGGGTTAGAGGTACTTTGATCCCAAAATCTTGTGTTAAAATGATTAACAGCTTATGCTCTAAATTCCTTTTTTATGGGGACATCCATAAGAAAGGTTTACATATGATCTCTTGGAAAGATACTTGTAAACCTAAAATCAATGGTGGGCTGGGGATCCCATCGGTGGCTTCTATGTATCATGCTTTTGGGTGCACTACTGTCTGGAGGTTTTATAATTCCAAAAGCTATCTTTTTGGATGGTGGAAAGAAAAATATGGGTTCTTTTGGAATTCCAGCAATTCCAAAAGCTCCATATACTGGAAAACTCTATGTGATGTTGCAAAAACTCTCCAACATTTCCTTAATTTTAAAGTCATTACTTGCAGCACTTTAGCCTTTTTTTGGGATCCTTCGTGTGCTGGGAAGTCTGTTGCGGACCACTTTTATGATTTGAACTTGGATATTCCTACTAATCAATTGTCCTTGGCTGTTAACAATTTCATTCTTAATGGCACCTAGAACATCCCTTCGTATATCCCTACCCAGTTAGCTGCTGTTATTTCCTCTGTACCTATCTCCACTGGGTTAGATGAATGTGGTTGGATTAATTTTGATAAGCCATTTTACATAACTTTTTCAAAACAACTTTATGCTGGCTTAGAGGTGGTTCCTTGGCATCATTTTGTTTGGTACAAGCATTCTGCACTTCGATTTTCTATTTACTCATGGATGGCTTTCAAAAAAGGACTCAAAACGGCAGATGCTTTGATTGCTAGGGGCATTTATGTTCCCCAGAACTGTTATTTCTGCAACATTGAAACTGAAATTCAAAACCATTTGATGTTCGAATGTGATTCCTCTTTTAATATCCTTAAGAGTTTTTTTCCTAGAATGAATTACATGTTTTTGCGTCCGAACTTATGACAAGTTCTTAATGACATTGATGGGAGGGAAACGAATAAGAGCAGGAAGAACTTTTGTTTCCTCTTACTCTTTGCTATCGTTTATTATACCTGGAGAGCTAGAAATGACAGGGCATTTGGCAACATTTCTAAATGTCACACTACCACTGCCATAAAGATCAAGAGGGTTGTTTATCTTAAGAGCTTCAAGAGGAAATGTTTCAACAAATAGCAGATTTTGTTCACTGGATTTTTGCCTTTATGGTCTAGAAGGCTGCTTGGACTATGCCTGGTTTCAATTTTGGTGTCGTTGGATGGTCCTGTTGGGCAACCAGAGACTGGACTTTTGAAGGACTATGATGATTGCAATCCTATTCTTCTCCCCTTGGAGGGCCAGGAAGCAGCTTCTCTTCGGCAACCAGGGGATCTTCTCATCCGTCTGGATGATTTTGGCTAGCTGGGTTTTAATTCTATGGATTGCTTACTGAGTCCTTATTGTATTTGCTTTTTCTTTTCATAGGTTTGTTTTTGTTAAGCAGCTGGGCTGATATGTTTTATCATTTGCTTCCCTTTTTTGTATTTAGCAAATGATCTTATTACTTGTAACATTTTCACTTATTAATGAGATGGGCTAAGGCCAAAAAAAAAATCTAGGAGCCTGAAATACTTTTATTTTTAATAATAATAAACCATATTCCCTTGAAATAAAGGGGCTGTTTGGTTGCCTGAAAAGAAAATGCAGTGTAAATTAAATGCAATGTAAAGTAAATGCAGTGCATTCCGAATACTTTGAGCCTATTTGGTTGTCTGCAAAATAAGCACAGGAGAATTGTTTCCCTTGTTTGGTTAGGTAGAATCATAGTAAAGTAAAAGCGTTTTTTTTGTAATATTTTATTTTGTCACCTCTAATTTGGCCTGAGTTTAACTAATTAATTATGATGACTAAGACTTTATTTGGGATGACTTCCTTATTGCCTCTTAAAATAACTTTTTAGTTTAAAATTTTAAATTTTTATATTTACACTGAAAAGTTGCTTTAAGAAGCATTACAAAAATCATCCCAAACAAAATTTAAATCTTCATTTGGGACAACTTTCAAATTGCTTTCTAAAACACCTTCTTACTACATATAAATTTGTTTAAAAAAATTTTGTATCAAAAAATCACTTTAAGAAGCAGAATATAGCGCCCAAATGTTACTACAACCAGAAGATAACAAGAGAATAATACAACTTAAATCACCCTCAATAATCTTAACCAAAATTTTAATTAACAGAGAACAAAAGACAGCAAAATATCGTAAAATGCATTATCCTCAAAATAACCATTCAGCAAGGGCCAAAGAAGCAACTGAACGAGTAATAGAAGATTCACCTCACAGCCAAATTCACAGAAATCAGGTGTAAGTGAACCAAACCAATCAATCTGTAAGAGAGGAATAGATTCTCTCAGTTGGAATGTGTTGAACTGTTTCGATCACAACAACCACAAGTAGTTCTAAATCCCAGCAGTGAATTAATGAGGCGAACATAGCAACGAATCTAAAAATGAAGCAAAACAGAGATAAGATTCAAAGATAAATTACCTCCAAGGAAAGTTAAAAATTCCATTCGAAAAAAGCATCAATGTAGCAAGAAAGCTAGAGAAGCAAAGTAACGATAGTCAGAGACAAATAATCTCGAAGAAACTTGAAATTTTAGATTAGGTTTTTCAAAACACAAAAGTCAAACCCATTCTACATAAAATAAAAAACGATATCATAGGAAATCATTCCAGAACTCGGGATTCCACATTCATCTATCTTGAGCACGAATAGGCATACCAGCATATTGCACTTGACAAGATCAAGGGGAGTGACGGCCATGTGCGTGAGGCCGCAGCTAACGAGGCCTCCTGCTGTACAGGCGGCGTAGAACAAGGTTGGATACATTCCGTTATTCTTCTTAGGATCGCTGGGTGCCTCAGAAAATAATCAACCCCCCTATTACACGCCTAATGCATCGGATAATTTTCTTTTGTTCCGTTCAAAATTAACCAAACAACCCTATTTGGTAAATACATATATTTGATTTACTTTACACTCCTAATTCAGGCTTCGTTTGGGACGGCTTTTCTATTGCTTTCTAAAATGGAGTTTTAGTACAAAAATAAAAAATTTTGTACTAGAATTCCGTTTTAGAAAGCAGTAAAAAAGCCGTCCCAAACGAAGCCTCAGTCAACCAAACAGCCCCAAAAGCTCAAGAGTCTAAAGACTCCACTAACACAGCCATTTCTTGTAGAACCACGAACAGTCGAATCCTCATGAACCCTACGCCAAGCAGATGCCCTACCTCCTATCGTCCGTTAAGTTCACCGCCCAGTTAGACTCGCTTCTCTACCGTTCTGCTGATCTCTTCCTCTTTCGTCTCTGCACCTTTTCCACTGCCGCCTCTCCATGGTTTCCCCTCCTCCGTGGCGCCGCCGCCTCCGGCGACCTTCATCTCCTTCTTCGCTCTCACGCTACCATCGTCACCTCCGGTGCCGGGTCCGACCGGTTCCTTACGAACAATCTCATCACAGCTTACTCGCAATGCGGCTCCCTCACCATCGCCCGCAAACTGTTCGACAAAATGCTGTACCGGGATTCCGTCACCTGGAATTCCCTAATCTCCGCTTACGCCCTCCATGGTCTCACCTCCGATGGTATAGCTCTCTTCAATCTAATGCTTTGCTCGGCTGAGCCCCCTACTCATCTAACATTCACTCCTCTCCTTAAGCTTTGCTCGGGTTCACTAGACCTCCTTCCGACATTGCAGTCCATTCATGGTTATGCTGCTAGGATTGGTTTGGACTCGGATGCGCTCGTATCAAGCGCTTTGGTCGGTGCTTACTCGAAAGTTGGATTTTTGGGTGATGCCCGTTATCTGTTCGACAGAATGGCTGATAGAGACATTGTGCTTTGGAATGTAATGATTAAGGGGTATTCTCAAATGGGATTGGCGAAAGATTCATTTTTGTTGTTTTCCGAGCTACATCAGAGCGGTGATCTTCGTCCAGATGCTATCAGTGTCCACTGCACCCTGATGTGTACAGAATCTGGTGAAAGATTTGACCAAGTGCAGGCTTATGGGATTAAATCCTCCCTTTTTGATGAAAAATGTGACGTAATAACATGGAATAAGTCCATGTCTGATTATGCCAAGGCTGGCAATAATGGTGCACTGAGTTGCTTTTTAGAGATGAAGAGGCGTGATGTGGAAAACGACCATGTAACTCTTGTCATTGTTCTAAGTGCCATTACAGGTCAAAGATCTTCTGATGTTGGGAGACAGATTCATGCTTTGGCCATAAAGGCTGGATTTTGTTTGGATGTTTCTGTTATGAATAATCTTGTTAATATGTACTCGAAGATGGGAATTTTTTTCTATGCAATGAAAGTGTTTGATGAGATGGAAAATTTAGATTTAATCTCATGGAATTCATTGATCTCTGGTGCCTTACAAAATGGTTATTCAGAAGTATCAGTTCAGATCTTCATGGACATGTCTAAGCGTGGCATTCTTCCTGATCAGTTTACTTTGGCAAGTATCCTACAGGCATGCTCAGCATTAACCAAAATCTCATCTTTACATGAACAGGTTCATGCTCATGCAATCAGAATGTGTTTGCTTGATGATATATTTGTGTTGACAGCGTTAATTGATGTTTATGCGAAGAAGGGGTTCGCGGTAGAGGCAGAGTCCCTTTTCAAAGACATGGACTGCTTTGATTTAACTTGTTTCAATGCTCTTCTTGCTGGTTATATAACAAACAATGCCAGTTACAAGGCGTTGAATCTTCTTGCATCTTTACATGAAAGTGGCGAGAGATCCAATCATTTCACTTTAGCTTCCATTCTGAAAGCCTGCAGCAATTTAGTTTCTATAGAGTGCGGCAAGCAAGTTCATTCCCATGCAATGAAGCTGGGTTTCGACTCCGACATATGTGTAAGTAGCGGATTAGTGGATATGTATATCAAGTGTGGTAATGTAAAAGATGCTTCTTCCACTTTTGAAGAAATATCTGAACCAGATGATGTTGCTTGGACAGCAATAATTTCTGGCTGTGTGGAGAATGGTGATGAGGACCATGCCCTGAGGCTTTATCGTCAAATGAAGGAGTCTGGAGCACTGCCTGATGAATTCACCATAGCTTCATTACTCAAAGCTTGTTCTTGCTTGTCTGTATTGGGTCTAGGCAAACAAATCCATTCAGATTCAATCAAATTAAACTGTGCATTTGATGCTTTTGTTAGCACTTCAATCATGGACATGTATGCCAAATGTGGGAATATCGATGACTCTTTTCTTTTATTTAAGAGGATGAACTCGAAGAGCATAGCTTCATGGAATGCCATGATACTAGGTTTTGCTCAGCATGGAAATGGAATTGTTGCCCTTAACCTCTTCAAACAGATGGAGTTAGATGGAATAAAACCTGATAAAATAACCTTCATTGGAGTCATTTCCGCTTGCAGCCATGCCGGTCTGGTATTCGAGGCTTACAACTATTTCAACTCCATGAGCCGAGATTATGCGATCGAGCCAGAAGTAGAGCACTACTCTTGCTTAGTAGATGTCCTCGGGCGAGCTGGACTTCTCATTGAAGCCGAAGAAGTCATCAAGAAGATGCCTTTTGAACCTTCACCATCTATGCTCAGGGCTTTGCTTGGTGCCTGCAGAATCAACGGTAACAAAGAAATAGGACAGCGTGTGGCCACTACATTACTGGAATTGGACCCAACTGACTCCTCTGCTTATGTTCTTCTCTCCAATTTGTATGCTTCTACAAGCCAATGGGAAGAAGTAAATGCTGCGAGGAAAAACATGAAGAGAAGAAATGTGAAGAAGGATCCTGGATATAGTTGGATTGAACAGAAAGACAAAGTTCACTTATTCGTTGTTGATGATAGCTCCCACCCTGAAGCAGCTGCAATACATGATGAACTTGAGGATTTAATGCAAAGGATCAAGAAAGAGGGCTATGTTCCTGATACTGACTTTGTGCTTCTGGATGTTGAAGAAGAGGAAAAAGAACGGTCTCTTTATTATCACAGTGAGAAGTTGGCAATTGCTTATGGTCTCATCAGCACTCCACCACCACTGGCAATTCGAGTGATTAAGAATCTCAGGGTCTGCGGTGACTGCCATAATGCCATCAAGTATATATCAAAGGTTGCTGGGCGGGAGATTGTGCTGAGGGATGCCAGTCGCTTCCATTGTTTTAGAGATGGGGTGTGCACATGTGGTGATTATTGGTAATCTGAAAACATTCTTTTCTTTGTGGAAGTATACATGATTTACTCGGGGGCTCTCGGTTGCAAGTTTTTTGAATCAAGAAGCATTTGAAAATATACCGGGCTTAGTTGAGTTGGTGGGTGAGCGTGGTTGGGATCCTCTTAAGTCTCAACTCATGTTTGATTCCTCTCTTATGCGGTGCGACTCCTTAAATGAGGAGAAAATAACTGTGTAGCACTGCACTTGTGGGGTTGGTTGCTGGTAGGCTGATCGAGAGATTAGTTACGTCACCATGTGCCTCCTTTGGGGTGGCAGGGGTAGATACCTCCATTAAAAAAAACTATTTTTTTATATTAAGGCTAATGATAATGCTGATATAAATATTTGAAATATAATGTAAGATAAATTTTATATAATTATAATGCTCATAGTTATTTGGTTGATTATGAAAGAAATTGAAGAGCTTTTTATTTATTTTTGGAATAATAAGAGCAACAATATCAATTTTTTATCCAGCTATATGGGATCGGCCACTTGAGTCATTTTTCTCTATTGTATTATATTCAAAGTCAAATTCTTATTTAAATTTAATTAAAAAAATCATTTGTAATACTTTCTAATTAAGCCTTTTTAAGTTTACCTCTAACTTTCTTAATATAGGTCTTAACTAGCATATATACTTTCCTAAATTGGTCATTGGCCTTTTTATGTGATCAAATCATTTAAGATGACTTTCTCTCATCTTATTTGTTGGTTGAGCTACTTCAACCTTATCACGTATATACTAATTTCACATTATATATTTGAGTGTCAGAGGAGGTTGAGTTGGCATGGACGTCTCACAAGTTCGAATAGGGATTGAGATTGGCTTGGTTGCGTTGGCATGGAGAAGGATGGAGGTGTCACGTAGTACCGCGAAGGTCTCATGTGTATCTTGATCAAGCGCTGAGCGGTTACTCTGGTAGCGGAGAGCAATGATAGAGAAAGTGGCGAGTGGTGATGGAGCTAGTGAGCGAGCAGCAGGTACAATGTTCATCAAAGTCCTACATGGGGTCCTGGTTGGGTAACTATGCTTTACTCAGACGGGCTTCACCCACCCACGCCCACCCATGGTAACTTTCGGAATGTCATACTCACATATACCCACCTGCTTTCCATGCTTTTTGAATGCAGTCTGTCATGGACTGATGGCCTTAAGGCTTGTTGCCCTTTGCTCTAATTGCAAACTTTCAAACCGCATATCATAATTTACTGTAGTCGCAGCATGGTTAAGTACTACACACTACGTAGTGAAGATTGCAGCAATATAAAATATAAGGTGATTAGTAATGTAAATTGATTTATCCTCCAATATTGAGTACCCATCCATACCCACCCAGAAGGCTATGGGTGTACCCATACCCATTGGGTATGGGTGTGTACCTGGGTGAGTGTGGATATGAGTACCCAATGTAAGGCTCTAATGTTCATGGGAAGCTGCTTATTCAGAATACATCAAAATTGAACTAAGGAGGAATTTCTTCTTCTTTTTTCTGATCGTTTTGGGAAATATGTTTTCGTTTATATTCCATTACAGAGCTTTTAGACCATATTAATTGTAGTTTTGCATGTGAAAAAATAAAAATAAAATCAAGTGAGGTTATTTTGACTCAATTTTCATCGGGATCATATTTATAAGTTATAAAGTGCCAATTTTTCTATCATTTTTAGAGTTGATTATACAAAATACCTTAATATTTAGCTATTGAGTCATGCATTTTACTAGAATTTTTTTTTCATTATTTTTGAATATATCTACCCATCTGAACATCAAAATCACATAATTTTATATCATTTAAATGTAATGAAAATATCACTATTAATATCTAATTTTATTGGGATCAAAATTGGGTCAGAGTATCTTGACCTAAAATAGCATTGCTTATTGGCTGTCCCACCGCCAGACATTGCTATCACTACCTACAACTCGATGTCAGTCATTGAACACCATCATTGTTGGGGTTTATATATTGCATTCATTTTACTTCAAGCTTAAAAAAAAAAAAAAAAAAAAAAAAACTTGACTCATCTTAATAATTCCAAACATTAGGAATACTCTGCATTCCTTCTTAACTACATTTTATTTTTTCTATTTCTTTTTTTATTCAACCAAACAACCACTTAATGCTAGTCTTATAATTTAAAGGAGGTCTTTTTGATGACTTATTCGTTAGCCCTCTATTTTAGATGTTGACCTGGTGTTTGGGGATCGAAGTTAAGGAATAGAGTTTGGTAACTCATAGTCGGGCAACGGTGGCCGGAGAACCGTAATTAGGCAATGGTTGTCAAAGGATCATAATTGAGCAATATTGGTCAAAGGACTGTAGTCAAGCAATAAAGGTCAAAGGACTATAATGAGGAATTGGTGGTACCTGGAAAGTTAGTGTACAGCTCAACACGTTCTGACCAGACCATATTTAAGGTAATTCATTAAATTTCTTCATTTGAATCCTTCTGCACGTGTTTGAGAATAGCCTCTGTGAATGTGAGGTTATATGTTTTCTAAAATGAGTTTTCGGGGGTCAATTGATATGTTCGGAAAAGTCTGTAATTTTTTCCATAGGATGTTGTATCGTTGGGATTAGTAGTGCCCTAATGCTAAGCTCTCTGGAATTATAGAAAAATTTTGAACACGTTAGCATTGGGGTGGCACTGAGGCGTTGTGGGCTCCCAGAGGGAGCACCGTAGTGGGTGATGTTGGGTGCCTCAATGCCCAACTTGAATTCTTTATTTAAACATCAATTTCTACTAGGGCTATTGGCTAGTGTGTGTGTGTCTGTGAGAGAGAGAGAGAGAGAGAGAGAGAGAGAGAGAGAGAGAGAGAGAGAGGAATTTGGGCATCTTTGGGACTTTTTTAGCTAACAGACTAGTTCTAAAAGTTGTTCAGACCGAGATATGTGACATTTTGCTTATTTCAATTTTCAAAAGTATAAAGAATTTTAGAAATTTCTAATTTAATTTATATTTTTGTAGTCTAAAATGAGGATAATTTTACAACTGCAAAACTTTCATTGTATAATTTTCTGTATGTTATAGAGACAGATTTTAAACATTTTGATATTTTTCAAAAAATTTATATTGGGGATTTTAAGAATGATGCTATTTTAATTGATTACAAAATAATCTTGACTCTCAAAAAACAATATTGTAGTATAATTAAATCCTTTAAATAGCATTCTGAATAATCTCTTATAATTTGATTACATTCTAAAATATAATAGTAGAATTCCTGCACAATTATATATTATGTTGTCTACCATTAAGTCAAATTGGTATTTTTTTAAATGATTTTATTTACATTGATATTACTATAATGCAATGAATTATGTTCTTATCTGATTGAAGTGTTTGATTTTGAGGAGATATGGGGTGCATGAAGGAAGTTTTTTTCAGGTGCAAAATTCACATTTTGGTGCCAATATCATATTCTAATATTATATGCACACTCTATTTTGTTGTTGGGCATTAGGAGTCTTAATTCCATATATTTTATGAATTTTGTTTGTTGTGAGTAATAAATGTCATAATTATTTGAATTTCCTCTCATACGAGGCATAATGGTCAAAATTCTTTGAGTTATGTTTAATATGAAGCGATTATTTATTTATTTTTTAAATATTGTTATTTGAATTTTCGATAACTAAAATTACTATTTTACTCAATATAGTGATTTATTATATTGCTTTCAATACTTAGTTAAAGGCTTACTAAAAGTAAATGCTTTGTAATAGATTTAATTAAAATTTAGATTTATAAATGTGATATGCTGAACTATATTAGCTAATCATTGTTCTGCCTTTTTATTTTTCAGGGTCCACAAAAGGGAAAGAGCTTCCAGTTGATTAATAATTTCAAGATCTGATTTGAATCTGTATAAACTTTTTTTTTTTTCTAGAATTTTATGTAGTCAATACTAATTTTTAATCTGTTATATTCTATATTTCATTATGTATCCATGTATTGTAATGTAATTATTATATATTTATTTTGATGATGAAATAAAAAAAGAATTTTTGTGGATGAGTTTATTTTTAATACACTAGATGTTATTATTAACTCTATGATTGTTGTTTGTTTTAAAGTTAAAATTGGATGAAATTTTCAAAAAAATTCAAAATTTAGACTTTGGGGTTGGTTTGTTACAAACCAACATGATAGGACATATTTCCTTTGTGGGTCTTATTGCATTGAATTATAACAAGTGGTCAGAGGTTAAAAGATTGTAGGAAATGTATAGTGGTTAGAGGATTGCTATTAGGCACCTAATATCAGAGGATCATCATCAGGTAATGGTGGTCAGAGGGTTATAGTCGTCAAAAGATGGGCGGAGAACACTAATTGGGCAATGGTGTCTTAAGGACCATAGTTCGATAATGGCTTTTAGAGGATGGTAGTTGAGCGACATGGTCAAAAGATCATAGTTGGGTGACGATAGTTTGATGATGGTGATCAGGTTGTGTGACTGTATTTGTTGGGTTGGGTTCGTCGATTTTTATCAGATGGTAGTATGATAGTGCTTATTATAAGGCAGTCGGGCAGTGTTCGGGTGGTGGTTCATTGTCGATGGTTGGGTGGTTTTTATATGGCAACAATTAGGTAGTGGTTAATTGGTGGTGGTCAATTAGTGGTCCAATGGTGGTTTATCAGTGGTGTTACGACAACATCTGTCGATCATGCGTTAGTCCAACGATGGTTGAAAATATTGGTGCGGCGGTGATGCTTAGGTTGTTCATTTATATAACATCATAAAGTTTTCAATTATATTTAACATTGGATTGGAATTTTTGTATGATTAGACTTATCTCGTCAAGTCTTCTAATTCGACCTCAAATTAGTTCAAATCATAGTTCGTATGATCTTTAAATTTAATTTTGTAAATTTCTTATTCAAATATGCATCAACATTCATATGATTACATGTCAGAAATAATCATAAATATTTTTATAATAATAATTTAAAAATTTGCGCTTCGTTTTTTGTTGAGGCTTGCATCCTTCTTTGTCTCATTTTAATTTAATTATGATCAAATGGAAAATAATAATATAACCGTCTCCAATCTGCAGTTATAAAATCAAACAAAGCATCCTGGTTGGCGTCGCTTCACCGCATTTTAAAAGTAGAGTTGGAGCACGCAAATATACCGTTTGTTAACCGCCGATTCGATGCTAACTCCCTCCACTTCTCCCTCGCCGCCATCACCACCTCCTCCTCCTTCTCCACAGGCGACGAAACTGAAGCCTCCGTCGCCGCCGATAAAATCGCCGCAACGAAAGCAGTGGATGCGGAAAAGAACTCACTCCCGATACGTTCCAAAACGTGGATTAGTTCTGAAGAGTGTCTTGCGGCTCTTGCTGTGTTCACTTCCTTGCTCTCCAACTGCAGTCAAG